TGGGTTCATTGAGAACATGGTTGTTGTTCAATAATAAAATTATTCCTCAAAAATACAACTTGCCTAATAATTCTGCACTCCCTGTATAGAGCGCTTTGAGTACTCCGGGAGAGTAGAAAAGCGCTATGTAAGAATCAGTCCATTTACCAATAAATTCAGCAGAACACAACAAAGTAAAACATTTAAATGCCTTAAACATGTTGCCCACTCCGGGTCGAGAAGAGGGGAACCTTCATTTAGGCAAACTGTCCTCTTTTTGGAAACCAAGACTTGCATAGTGTGCTGTGCTGATGGCTCAACAGTAACTTTTATTTTGGAACCATTTTAAACAAACTTTAGGTTTTGCAACAATCACATGTTTGATTGACCAGAAAAATAAAACGGGTCAGTGGAAACCGTAACACCAGACTGTATTAGTTTCAGTATGAATGCAGAGCCAAAGCACTGAAAGCTGCGGAGTTTAAACCGGCTTGAGCTGTCAGGAATACTGGTGTGTCTGGCAGAAACACTCCATATATGCCATAAATGCAGTTCTTGATAGGTCAAAAAGGTTGTTTGGTTAATGTGCACAAAGAAGGTAACGAAGCACAAAAAGAAACTTTAAGTTGGCAGAGGCCTCAAAAAATCCCTTCTTCCAATCATTTGTTGTCCTTTTACTAAGCATAAAAACAACATAAGTACATGTGTGCAACACTAGCAGAAAATACACATTTGGAAACATTAAAAACACAAAGTTCACTGCCTGGAAATATCGTTTTCTTCTGCCCAGTTCCTGTTCTTAAAGACAAATGGATAGTAGCATGTACACAAAGGTACACTATTCAAATGAATAGAAACCCGTCTGTTTTTTTCATGTTCAGTCCCACACTTGATGTGCGTCAGCTGATGCTTTGTCTGTTTGCAATAAATCTGTTAAACGCCGCTGCTGATATGAACACAAAGAAGCAGCAGATATTTTTTTTTAAAAAAGGCATTTGGCTCTACAGTGACAACAAAAGAAATCACGCACTTAATATAATAACAAGGACATTCTGCAATTAGGAGTCAGGCTTGTGCCTTTGTCCTTTCTTGTTTTGATTTGTTTTGGGGTTTTACAAAAGTTAACATTTTTAAAAAAGTTGCTCTTCCAGAACAGTTGTTTTGACTGTACAGAATGTGGAACAGGAAATAGACACAGACTGTTGGATGCCAGCTTCTTCATTTTACTACATACATTTACTGCAGTGGAATACAGAGGTGCTGAGATGTGTTTTCTGGAGTCGATCACGATTCTCTGTCTTCACTCTCCAGACTTTGTGGGGACAGTTTGGGAATGGCCTCTTCCTGATCCAACATGACTGCACAGTGCCGTGAGGTAACTGTTGCTGTGATTGGTGCTATATAGAGAAATAGTAATTGATTTATATGTTTTATATATCTAAATATTAGCCTGTAGACTGTTCAGTCAGGATTAATGCAAACATGTTTAGAATACTCCTCTCCTAAACTTCTCCCGAACAAATCCAGGCGTAGTCAGGAAGCACTCAGTGTGTATAGTTTATTCTGCCGGCCTCCCAGGTGCACAAAAGATTATTTACAGAGAAAATAAACAACTGACTTAATTCAAAACAAAAAAATCTATATACAAAACACAAGCGGCTGAGCCAGTCTGCATGTTACCCTCACTGTAACATCTCACAGAATGCCCAGGTCGGCCCTGACGGCCTCCTTTTATACCCCGTTGCCCCTCCGAACAGGCATAATAGTCATCAGTCATCCCTTAATCATTTCTTTCCCCAAAACACTCTTTTTTCCTCAGCATATTTCCAGCTGTATTCCTACAATACCCATATATATATGTATATATGTATACACACATTCATGGCCACTTCCTGGCACAAAAAAAACAAGAAATATTAATGCAGTTCACGTGACCTTTCCAAGCGTGTGCGAACCTTGTTATAAATATTTATAACAAGGTGCAATAATAATTAATGTGCAATAATAACAGTGTGCAATACACATACACTTATTCTTCTTTTTTATTACTAAGTTAATATACTGTGTTGTGTTGTTTGTGTTGTGTTGTGATGTGTCATATCGTGTCGTGTTGTGATATGTAGTGCCGACGTAGGACAGTTTTCCAATTTCATTGTACTACTGTACTATGTATGACTGTGCAATGACAATAAAGAGTTATCTTATCTTATCTTATCTTATCTCTTACCCACTATTTGAACCCTTGAACACCATACCATCAGCTTGCATAACCAGTTGTACAATCGGCAGTCACAGGGAGTCTACACAACCAGCTTTATTAAAGGTAAGTAAAAAAAATATGTTGGCCACCCTCTATGCCGCTTAAAATATAGCTGGTGATGGTGTCCCAGGAGAGCTCCTCCAGATCCAAACATCACTGAGCTCCTGGACCATCTGAGGGGCAACCTGGAGGCATCAGATGGACTTTTCCAGAGGTCTTCAACTGGATTTAGGTTGGGTGAGCGTGGGGTGGGTCAGTAGCATCAATTGCTTCATCCTCCAGAAACTGTCTGCATACTCAGATACCCCAAATGAGACATGTGGCATTATTGTTTACCAGGAGGAACCCAGGACCCACTGCACGAGTGCAGGGTCTGATAGTGGGTCCAAGGAGTTCATGCTGGTACCTAATGGCCTGACTGCTGAATGGGAAAAAGACTTCAACCCTGGAGTATAGCACTATAGATTATGAATAAATAATTGTTTTGCCTCTTTCATTCCTTTGTATGTGATAAGCATTGGTGATGCATACTGAATAATACTCTAATAAATAACAAAAAATTATTAAGTACAATAAGGAGTGTTGCGGGAATTGCTGTCTTGTGTGTGACTGGGTGCAGTAAGGAGTGTATGTGATGTGTGTGTGAGCATGCGCGTGAAGGAAACGCGGGGAGCGAAAGAGGGAAAAGAGAGTGAGAGAGTGTGTCATGGGTAGAGAGGGCGACCGGGAGCAGCGTTCTAATGGGCTACAGGCTATGCAGTGTGTTTTCGAAGTGTGCAGTACTGTTATTAAAAGCCTCATCTCTTCAGTACTCTCCGGTGCCTCGGCTGATTTCTGTCTGCCTCACTACTCCACAAAAGTGAAGGGAGTTAACCCCGAAGGAGGACAAACTTCGGCCCTGGAGGAAGCATCTCCCCTCGTGTCTCCCGACCACGGTCAGGGGACTGACGGCGAGGAATGGTTAACACTGGCGACCACGAAGGGACCCTCTCACGTTGTTAAAGAAGTGGTGAGCACAGAGAAAAACCGACAGGCTAAAGCGGCTAACGATAAAGCCGAGTGACTGTAATTACAAGTGTATTAGCCCGCAGCTAAGCTAACTCGCGATGGCCGCTGCTCGCCATTCTCGTGAAAAGTACGGACTTGAGACCAATTACTCCAACCCCTTCATATCGCTGACCAGTGTCTCCGAGAGTGCCGCGAGCATTAGGGAAGCTAACAGAGACAGAGCTGTGACTAAATGTGAACATATGAACCCATTCCTGTGTGCCGAAAGTTGTGCTAACACACACGCTAATGGAGAGGGTGTATTCGCGCCGCCCGATGGTCCTGCCCGGCCGCAGTTTTCCCGCACGAATCCCTTCGTTGATGCTGAATGCCGCAGCTACGGCCGTGAGAGAAACACAGGCAGCAGCATGAACTATTATCCAGCTCCTACTCCCCAAATGAAAATCCACTATCCAGACTCAAACCCATTTTCCTCCGCTCACATGGACAGTTTTGTACACAGCACACCGGCTCAGTTTAACGCAATGTTAAATACACCCATGCAATGTATGCCTTCCAGTAGCCTTAATGAAGCCATTAGCTATGGGGAAATCACTGCACAGCATAAACCCCGCTCGAAACCAGGCAAGACCCGCTGTGTGCCCCGTCAGCCCCCATCTGACAGTGAAGAGGACGGTGACACTAGAGAGAGAGTCCCCACCCTACGTCCGGGCCAATATGACGGCACCACACCGTGGAAGGAATTTCTGCACAGGTTTGAGAGCTGCGCTGAAGCCAACTATTGGTCAGAAAAAACAATGACAACTCAGCTTAAATTCTGCCTAGTTGGAGCAGCAGGGGCCATTATCCACAGAAATCCCCGCTCATCCAAATGGGATTACCGCCGCCTGGTGGACGAACTGGAAACTGCATATGGCCCTTCTTCTGACCATGCAGCTGCTGTTGCTGTAGAACTGAGGCAGCGAGTGCGTAAACCTGGTGAGGCCCTGCATGTTTTCAGAGATGACATTTATGGGAAAGTGGCTGTTGCATATGGTAATAGAGCAGAGATTGAACAAGACTCTATAGCTGTTGAAGTTTTCACCAATGGGCTGGGTGATGCAGAAATAGTACAGAAGTTGCTAGAGAGGCACCCAGCCACACTTGCCTGTGCATACGAAATAGCCCACCGACACGAAACCACTAAAAGGGCTGCATCTTATGTAACCAGTGCCATGCAGCAAGGAGCCCGTAACGCAGCTGAACGCCGGCCCCGAGCTGCCGTCGTCAGAGAAAAAGACAGAGATGAGACTGTTGCTGAGCATGCACCTGCAGCTAGCCCCTCACCGAATCGTTTTGTCCCACACACACCCTCGACAACACCGAACAATCACAGAAATTTTAAAAGGAGTGGGGTTCGCTGCCATAACTGTCAAGGTTGGGGCCATGTCCAAAAGCAGTGCCCTTCCCCTCACAAAACCACCAAGGCCTTAACATTGAACAGTAGCCTTG